CTTCAACCAACCAACTTCAATTCTACTATTAACATCCCCATCTATATCGCCATCTCTTTGAACAACAGACCTGAGATATCTAAATCGTTCCCACTTTTTAAAAATTTGATCACCCAAAGTTACACTTCTATTACTAGAGCTAGCACTACTAAAATTACATTCCATGTATTCAGTTTTAGTTCTACTCAAATGAAGGTCTTTAGACTCCAATGTGGACCTCCATAATTCAAGCTTTTCCTGGGTTTTTTTCTCGTCTTATCCACGAGAAGGATATCATCAGATAAAAGCATAACCAAGGTACATCCTCCTGTAAATGTCCAGTAAGACCATCCATAACTAAAGAAAAAAGAAATGGGCTTAATGCCAATCCCTAATGTATTGGCCAATCCTCCTTCTGTTCGAACACAAGTAACAACTCTATCATACAAATCTTTAATGACTTATATCTTTAATGACTTGAATATAAGTCATATCAACACCTTTCTTCGCAAGAACACTCCAAAGGATATTTCTTGGAACCTTATCATAAGCTTTTTCTAAATCAATAAAAATCAAATGTAGATTCTTCTTATTATGTCTTAACTTCTCCATCAAACCTCTCAATAAATGTATAGCTTCCATGGTAAACCTGCCCGGCAAAAATCCAAATTGATTATGAAAAATCTTTGTAACAAGTCTTAACAGATGTTCAATCACCCTCTCCCATAATTTTAAAGTATGACACATCAACTTAATTCCTCTATAATTTGCACACTCTTGTGCATCCCCTTTATTCTTAAAGGGGTCCTCAAGCATATTTTTAGATTTTAAATTAACATTAGAGAGTTTAGTAAGCCAAGAAACTCCCAAAATTCCTAAATATTTCCACAATTCAATTAGGATATCATCAGATCCTACAGACTTTCCACCCTTGGTTTTCTTTAATGCCTCCTCAACTTCTTTTTTACTAATGTGACAATAAAAATGAAATGATTTATTAGTAGTAACGATATTATGATCACTAAGATTTATCATATTTTCAGAAACTACATTAAAAAATTTATCAAAATAACTCACCCACCAAAATAACTCACCCACCTATAATTGAATATTTTTTTCTAAGAAAATCACTTTTTGATTTTCATCTTTAATACACTTTAGTTGAGTTAAATCTTTACTTTTCTTTTCTCTTTGTTTGGCTACTTTATACATTTATTTTCACCCTTTTTAGTATCAAATCTAAAGATCATTAAAAGCAGAAGTTTTAGCGTCATAGATTATTCTTTTAGGCGCTCTGCGGATCGTTTAATATTTTTCCCAGCAATCTAAGCTTTTACATTTAAACCAAATTTTATCACATAACTTTTTAAATTTTATCTTTTCTTGCACATTATTATTCCACCACCAACTATTTTTATTTATAGAAACTTTTTCTTTTGATTGTTCGAGTACATCATTTGTTAATTGTTTAACAATGTTTGTTACTTTATCCCACATAGCATTTACTTCTTCATAAATATCCTAAATTTTAAAAACTTGAATTTTACTCGTAAAAATAATTTTGTTTGTGTTTTTTAGGCTCTCTCATCTAATTCTACAGTGATGAGTCCTAATATTTTTTTTATTTTACAAATCTTTATCTTAAAATCTAGAACTAACAGACGATGTTCGGTACTTAAATCCTCACTTGAAATGACCTTACAATCTTTATAATCTCGACGATCTCTTCTTCTCATAAGAAAATAATCAATTTGTGTTTTATTATATTCATTCATATAACTAATAAGATGTTCATCTCTATTCTTGATCAAAGTATTCGTAATAACAAAATCATATGCTAAAGCAAAATCTAAAATAACTCTACCTTCTTTATTAGTCACTCCAAAACCGCTGCCACCATGAATATTTCTGAAATCTTCTACCACTCCACCGACATGTTCATTTAAATCTTCTCCAATAAGAATTTTTTCTTCAAGAAGTATTTTAAATCTTCTCCAATAAGAATTCTTTTTTCAAGAAGTACCATTTGCATGAAGTCTTCTAAGTCATTCCTGAATTTATCTTTAGACCCTATATCTAAAGTTACTTGAAAAACATAAGCACTTATAATATTAAAAATATTAATATCAATGATAATCTTAAGGGTTATAATTCTATCTCCAATTCTATTAATTTTTACAACATTATCTTTAAACTCTTATATATAATTACAACTGCACCATTTCTAGTGAAACTCATACCAGAAAACCAAAGTTTAAAACCCAATTTATCAATCTCCTTAGCTTTTTCTCGAACCCATTTAATTTCTTCAATACATAAGATATTAATTTTTCTATGAATCATAATATCAACTAATTTCATTAATTTATCATTGAGAGTGCCTATATTCCAAGATTCTATCCTAATATTAGTTTCATTAGTTTCATGGACTAAATTTTTTACCCGCATTCGTCCGTAATGTAGGAACACTTGCTATTTGACACTACATCGGGGCGTCGGTGTAGCGGCCCTTGCACACCTTTTCACTGTATTAAGGTTATACAATGTGTCGCTTCCAAGGGACGCCCTAACACTTACACAATGATCAAAAGGACTCGTGTCATGATTTTTTCGACAAATTTTATGTTGGTTGTCGACTACCTAACGAACCCTCCACTTTTCACATCCGGGTTTAGGACCGACAACGAAATATTATCATCTTCAAAATAATCATCATTTCATAATCATCTAATTCTATCTCATTTGTAAATTTAAAAGATTTTTCATTCACTACAATTTTCTTGTTAATATCAATTAATCTCAAATCCAATATAATTTAAAACACCTCAAAGCATACACTTCAGACGAAAAAGGCGTATGTCTTTAGTGATATTGAGGCTTAAACCTCAAGGCTATTTATGTGTGTTGCGGTTTGAGGCACAACTTGAGGTATAAGCCTCAAATGTCTTTTTAAACAATGCTTGCAAAGCATGATAATATTATCATCCTTTGATAATATTATCATCTTCAAAATAATCATCATTTCATAATCATCTAATTCTATCTCATTTGTAAATTTAAAAGATTTTTCATTCACTACAATTTTCTTGTTAATATCAATTAATCTCAAATCCAATATAATTTAAAACACCTCAAAGCATACACTTCAGACGAAAAAGGCGTATGTCTTTAGTGATATTGAGGCTTAAACCTCAAGGCTATTTATGTGTGTTGCGATTTGAGGCACAACTTGAGGTATAAGCCTCAAATGTCTTTTTAAACAATGCTTGCAAAGGATGATAATATTATCATATAGAAGAGATTAACCATCCAACTTTTGCATTTTCATCTATTCTTCATCATCTTTCAAAAATTTCATCAGTATGTGATGCATCTATGGAGTTCTTCCTAACCCAAGCTCCAATACCAAACTTGATTTAAAATACCCACAAGACAACAAAAAATATCCAACACATCGAGCAAGTGATACAGAATGATAATCTAGATTCTATTTTGAGACCAAGATCAAAGTTTCATTAAATAAAGAAATTCAGACAACATGAAGAAAATAGAAAAAGAAAATATAATTAAATGCCCTCTCTAGTTATTCTTACACCAGTCTCCCTCAAAGATCTCTAGTTTCTAAATTTTTTGGATTCTCAATTGATTTGAAATTCTCTCACAACATCATTTTATATAGTGATTACAGTAAAATATCAGGAATGCTTGTTACAAGAGACCATGGATAAAACTTGTGGAAGTTACAAGCAGGTGGCGTTGATTTTTTTATAGTTGGAGCCATTTTACATCATAAACACAAAGTAACAATCTTCACAGCAAAAGATACACATTTGGATAGGGCTTCCTGAAAAATTCTCGACTTATTTTTAGCCTCACCAATTCCTCTTAGCTTCAATAGATTTATGTCAGCAATATGCTAAGCCTTTCAAGATTTCTCTCAACATGATCTCATTCTTCACAGCTTGTCCTTTAGGCATTCTCTCAACAAGCTAAATGATCTCATAACCATAACTTAAGCAAGTATATTCCATTGTAGTTGAATAATATAATATTTCAATCAACTTAATTAACTATAATATCCCGTGAATAATTTTACAAATTATTAGTCTAATTAATAAGCCAAATTATTAGATAATCAAATATATGAAGAGAAATTAATATCATTAACTACCATAATTAATCTATTAATGATTATTTAAATAATTTACTAAACATATTTTTGACAAATAATTAGTTGAGTTATTTTCTAAAAATACTAATGAAATTTTTTTATACTTAATTAGTTTATAACAATCCATAATTTCTCATTAATTTGAATGATTAAATTATTTATTTATTTAAATATATATATATATTAATTTATTAATAATCAACAATTAGAAAATAATGATCACACTATACCAGATTTGAATTTTATTTTCTAGTACTAAATAATTGCCTTAAGATAATCAATTAAGTTTTTATTAGCATAATTTCATTTATATAATTATGAAAGAGTTTATGCTCAATTAGAATAGTAGCATATTAATTAATTCGTAAATGACTATTTTCCTTGATTTGTAATATTATTTTGAACCATCTTAGTTAGTTGTCTTAAATGCATCTTACTAGTAAAAAGTATGATATTAATCATTCATTTAAATAGACTAATTCAAAATATAGAAGAACAAATTAATGATTAAATAACCCAAACAATTTATAGTTACTATTAGTCTGTTTATTGAATGACAAAGTCATGAGGAATTAATATAATTAATCTCTACTCAAGTTTAATATTGCAATTATCTTTTTGGCCGACCAAATAGCTTTAGCATGTTTAAAACCTAATCTTCTAATCTATTTGCTTAACTTATCCTCACTCTGCAAATGTAGATAGGGAAACAAATCCGAGAAATCAAAGCTTTTAATTTTCATGTTTAAAAAAACGAAAAAAAATGATTGTAACTTAATTTCGTGCATATAACCAAATCAAAGATTATTCATCATTTTGAACAAAAGAATTGTTTAGGAAGTCAACAAACCTTTTTATTGCTCCGTAGCCATGGCTGCCAACAACAAGCACATCTGCATTAAACTTTTCCACAGCATCACAGAGAATATTCCTTGCGTCTCCTTCCGCCACTTCAAATATAACATCTCTTACCTTTGCAAATAAAGGTATTATCAGAGTAATATTAACAAAGAAAATCAACACTCTAAGAAAATAATTAGCAAGCCTAACTCATAAAATTGTAAATTTCTTCTAACGCACCAAGTCCTCGTATATGTAACTTATGTCATGTAGCTCATTTTAAAAACAGCCATACTTTAATCAAACAACCAAACATGTTTTATTTATCCTAAACAGTCCCTTTAAGTGGATTTTACGATTTTTCCATGCAATAGTGATTTGCAAATGAATCCTTCGACATGATTAACTTCAAACTATGGCAGTAAAGTAACAGTGTAGTTAAGCATATTCAATGAACACTGTTCTATGGGCCTAAAATGATTAATCAAACATTAGAATACACTTAACTTTATCTGGATAGAACTCAAAATCATACCAAGTTAGCAACACAAAGCTTTCTAGCCTTCTCAATCACCTCAGTAGCAATTCTCTTCAAATCTAGCTCTACATAAGGAAGGACATCAGCAACTCCTGCATTCATAATAATAATGATAAGAAAGACACACCTTGTCGAACATTCTATCTCAGAAATCTTGAGGCCCATTTTGCATTACTTCTTTTTTCTATTTTTATTTTAGGTTTTTTCTTTTGTTCTAAAAACATGTTTGTTTAGTGTATGTTTCACATGTTTTTATTTCCTATATTTTTGAAACAAATCAACTTTTTTTAGAAAATATTCAAAACACACAAGCTGTTTGGAGTGTTTTTAAAAACAGTCATTGCAACCAAATATATTTCATTTCAAATCAAAACATAAACAAACAAAATAAATATTAAACATAAATGTGATCCCATACGAATATATATTTGCAGTTAAGAGCAATTATATCTAGACAAATGAGTTTGTTAATTTAGAAAATTTTGTAGCATACCCCTTGACTAAAACTATAACATTACTAATTTAACTAAATAGCATAAGATTGTTATTTTTCAAAATACTGACAATAGTTTGTTTCATTTTGTAAACATTAATGCTCATTATTATTCGGCAGTTATAAACACCTTCAACAGCACAAGTGGAGACAACCACCCTTCTGTAAACAAGAGTTATTATAGCACACCAATCTCAAGTAATTTATGATAGGCTTTTCAATAATGTTGACATTAATGGCTAGATTGAAGTAATGTCTGATTTCAGGATAGCAGGAAATTTATGTGTTTGATTTCCATAAACTAAAAGGCCATGTGGGATCCCCTTTGATTTTAAATTTTTTATTTTATTTTATTTAGCTATTTTTTTTTTACTTGAAATAAAATATGTTTGGTTTGTTATAGTATGTTTAGCTTTTTCAAAAATACTCAAAACAACTTTTAGATATTTTGAGTGTTTTTAAAATAAAGCTAGTTTGTTTTTCAAAACAAAAAATAGAAACATGAAAAAAATTAACCAAACAAACATGTTCTTGAAATAAAAGCAAAAAAAAAAAAATACAAAATACAAAATGATCTCTAAACAACCAGATATTAATGCTAGGAATTTGTGAAACCATGCATTACTATGAATATGTTTAAAAGTTTTAAACAACTCAATCCTAATGCTGTAGATTGCCCCCTCGGCACTATGCCATTGCTAGCACATTGTAAATACAGGTCAAGACCAATCAACATTATCAATGCAAGCTCATTATCCTCAATAAAAAACTCAACCGAAGGAGTAAAAATATTTAAAAGTATAAAAGCTAATTGAATGCCCATCACCGTACATGGATGTCATCAAAAGCCCACCAACATAGCTCATCAACCTTAGCTATCGATTTGTAAGAATGGTGAGCTCTCATTGACACTAATGCATTGGAAATGTGCACAATCATGGCAATCTCATGGAGTTTTTAGCGAGCTTATGAGCATAGTTGCATGTTTGCTACAATATCATTTGGACCTCACAAAACCAGTTTGCAAATGAGCTGTTATCATCTTGTTAATGACCAACAATCTCACATTTTTAGCTTGCAAGCCATATAGCAAGCTCGTAAACACCGAGAGCTTTTATGCTCATGATGCTTGCCATGATCCATTACTGGTGAAACAAATTAAAATATAGCTTGATGGATAGTATATCTTCATGTGGTTAGCCAAAACTTTGAATGTACATCATCAAAATTTGATTGGCCAATATGGAAAGGCTAAACTAAAAGTTAGTGGTGACACCAAAATTTATAAGAAAATGTGACAAAATAGAAAATTGAGAGGTCGCGAGGGATTAAATAAAAACAATTCTTCTCTCAAATTTTTTAAAATTATAATAAATATGATTATTAAATTAAAATTAAATTTTTATTAAGTATTTAAGTTAAAGGGGGCATAATTTTTAGTGCATTATATGATATTAATGATTTTAGTATAAATTTAGGAGTGGCGAGTACCTCCCCCAGCCACCTGTAGTTTCACCATTGCTGACAGCCTTGAATGAATAACACTTGTTGGATGTCCACATAACCAATACTCGTTTAACATAGATAAATTGGCTAAATTTAGGGTATTGATTGACAAACCTTCACCAACCAAGATGAAGCCATCATGAACCAATCAAGGTTAGATGTGAAGTTTTGGTAAATTAAAAAAGGCTACATGAGGCGTGAATCTAAGTTAACAAACAATTTTTGACTTATTTTGAAGCCACCTCTTAACGAAACACTTCGGGACCGAAGCTATTGTCCTCCGGGACACATAGGCTTTAGTTCCTTGAAAAAGGTTCGACGCCACGCACATAGGCTCGAATTCCTTGAAAAAGTGTTCGTTTCGCTCACATGTGTCAGCACCTCTGGGAAAGAATTTTATCCTATCAGCCAGCATGGAACCTGCCACATCACTGGCACTGTGACGCTCTGTACCAATGACTAGGCACCATGTTATCCCACATGACATATGTCAACAAATTGTAACATGACTGTTAACATGTCGCAGATATTAATGCTAGGAATTTGTGAAACCATGCATTACTATGAATATGTTGAAAAGTTTTAAACAACTCAATCCTAATGCTGTAGATTGCCCCCTCGGCACTATGCCATTGCTAGCACATTGTAAATACAGGTCAAGACCAATCAACATTATCAATGCAAGCTCATTATCCTCAATAAAAAACTCAACCGAAGGAGTAAAAATATTTAAAAATATAAAAGCTAATTGAATGCCCATCACCGTACATGGATGTCATCAAAAGCCCACCAACATAGCTCATCAACCTTAGCTATCGATTTGTAAGAATGGTGAGCTCTCATTGACACTAATGCATTGGAAATGTGCACAATCATGGCAATCTCATGGAGTTTTTAGCGAGCTTATGAGCATAGTTGCATGTTTGCTACAATATCATTTGGACCTCACAAAACCAGTTTGCAAATGAGCTGTTATCATCTTGTTAATGACCAACAATCTCACATTTTTAGCTTGCAAGCCATATAGCAAGCTCGTAAACACCGAGAGCTTTTATGCTCATGATGCTTGCCATGATCCATTACTGGTGAAACAAATTAAAATATAGCTTGATGGATAGTATATCTTCATGTGGTTAGCCAAAACTTTGAATGTACATCATCAAAATTTGATTGGCCAATATGGAAAGGCTAAACTAAAAGTTAGTGGTGACACCAAAATTTATAAGAAAATGTGACAAAATAGAAAATTGAGAGGTCGCGAGGGATTAAATAAAAACAATTCTTCTCTCAAATTTTTTAAAATTATAATAAATATGATTATTAAATTAAAATTAAATTTTTATTAAGTATTTAAGTTATAATTTTTAGTGCATTATATGATATTAATGATTTTAGTATAAATTTAGGAGTGGCGAGTACCTCCCCCAGCCACCTGTGGTTTCACCATTGCTGACAGCCTTGAATGAATAACACTTGTTGGATGTCCACATAACCAATACTCATTTAACATAGATAAATTGGCTAAATTTAGGGAATTGATTGACAAACCTTCACCAACCAAGATGAAGCCATCATGAACCAATCAAGGTTAGATGTGAAGTTTTGGCAAATTAAAAAAGGCTACATGAGGCATGAATCTAAGTTAACAAACAATTTTTTACTTATTTTGGAGCCACCTCTTAACGAAACACTTCCGGACCGAAACTATTGTCCTCCGAATACCATAGGTTATTGGTTAAACCCATTTTTAGGGATGGCAGCCGCACGTCCGATCAACTTGTTTGAGAGGTGAGGTCTGCAAGGTTGAAACAAGCTCATACATTTCAAGATGACGAGCTTTAGGATTTATATCCCCAGATTGTTTGTTACACCTCTTTGTAGAGGTGACGATCTGCATTTTTTCGACTAACTGATTGGGCTTATGGTGGTCACTATATTATTAACAAAGATACCATAAGTTACTTTTCCATCGTCCTGTTCAAAACCCTAAAACTATCCGGTGAGGCATTAGGATAGTTGTTGAAGCCCTGCGACTACTTAGGAGTAGATTCTTGCAATAGGGTTTAGCTTGACAACACAATTGTTGTTTTGTCCTGAGGATCAAAGCGGATGGTGCCTAGGTGTTGCATAGTGCCACAACAGCGCCAATCCCTATTGCCTCCAGATTAGAGTGGAGCAATTTCACAATTGTGACTCCACAACGCCGCAACAGTGTCCCTCTGATTTACATGCTGCATTTGTTTGCATTTGTTTTCCTTCACATTTTGCATTTTGCATGTGTCAAGTCTTATAATTCATGTGTTGCTTTTCATTTCACACATGTCATGTATGTTTTTATTGCATTTGTTGCATGCCTCCCTAGTGCTATCACACATTTTTGTGCATTTGTGGCATGTCATTGCATACTATTTTTGTGTTCGTGCCTTTTAGGATTTAGTCCCATACGCACTCGCTTTTACATATTGTGCATTTTCATGCACCATGTATTTCGCTTTATCCAAGAGAAATACTCATTTTTCCTCATATAGGTCTAGGTTGCATAAGTCAACACGTTAGTGGTAGGACTGTAGTTTAATCCTAATATAATTTGTAGTGGTAATAAAAAAAAGAGATTACCTAGTGGTTGATCCAAGCAGGTAATTTGAATTATCATATTACTACCAGATCTCATAAATGGTTCTAAGCATAGATCTCAATTAACAATGATCACTTAACGTGAAAAGTGTTAGCTCATTCAGATGCTTAGGCTGGAGCCAGCTAAGGGTCTGTTTGGGGCAGCTGCAGTTTATCCAGCTTCTGCTGATAAGCAGCTTATCCTGATAATTTGCTAATGAGCAGCTGATGCGGATAAGCTGTCTGACTATTTGGTTTGCACTTATGGAAAACAGCTGATTCTGGTAAATTGATCATTCTGGCCCTGTTCTGAATAAGTTGTTTAGCTGTTTAGTTAGTTTGTTTTGTAAACAGCTTATTTACAATTTTTTTTTAATTAAATAAATAATCTATGCAGCAAAATTTGTTATTTTCTCAAAAAAATTAAAGAAAAATATTCAGACAAGAAAATACAAAAAAGTTGATTTATATTTATATAAC